ATTGTACAGAAGTATTGAATCTGAGCATTGCCATATGGAGGTGAAACGCACATCTCTAATTATGCAAAGAGTGACTAAGAAAATGAGTATTTGCACATTGCTGCTGTGAGCTTATGCTGTCAGGTACCAACTGCACTGCTAAATGGTCAAATATTATCACAGGTTTATGATTAAATGTATCAATCAACTCATGATTCATGGATCTAAAACAAGAATCTGACATCAAAGTAACTCCTAAGTGTTTTATTAGTTGTTGACAATCTGTCCCATTATCCATGCCAACAACTTTGAATCACAACATAGAAAGTGACCATTTACTTGTTTTAACATGGAAGTGCTGGGAAAAAAATCTGAATTCTCTTACTTAGTAATACATAAACACAGAAAATAACAGACAGTGCCAGAAATTCAATTGCTTAAGTCCTCAGCTGAACACAGATGAATCAATTTGACTTCTTTTTGTTAGACGTCACAACAGCATAGAGCCAAGGTATGTTCTTCAGTCCACTGCATGTATCCTGGTCCGTAATGCGATACAGTTCCAGAATGCCATTCTTCTAAAAGCATGAATAGCTTGCAGAGCTCAGTGCTTATAAAGAGCCACATAAATTCACTGAAGACGTAACAGTCATCAGCAAAAGCTTTGTTTATCACAGCTCTTGTAGTCTCTTAAAAATGAAGATCTAGACAGCAGAGCTGACAAAGATCAGCAATGTCAGTTGATGGCATTCATCATTTCCTGGGCTTGTTTTAATTCTAGAAACACAAAACAAATGCTTATTTTTAACTCTGGGGAAAAAAAAAAATACAGATATTAAAGAGTAACTCAACTTCTGCTGATAAAAAAAAAGCATTCCCTTTTGGGCGATTTATGTACATTACAGGGATTAAAACAAACTTTGTTGAAGATTCCTACCTTTTGATACTCTGAAGAAATAGTTGTCTGTCTGTGTTCATCTGCAAAGTGAATGTGATTGATTTTAGAATTATCAATCAGCTATGCACTTGCAGGGTTCAAATTAGGAATATGGCAGGGTCTGCATCCCTTTAAAAAGTATTTCTCTTTGGGAGTATTTTACTGAAAAAGGATTTTTTGTTGCAGGGGAAGCCCAAAATCTGACTTGTATCTTAGTGCAAACTTCTGGGAAAATCAGTAAGCCAATCATGCAAGCAGGAAATTACATTTCTGGGGGATGTTCTTTACACCCCAGTACTGTCATTTCCTGGTTGCTATAATGCATTGCAATTTATTATTATATAGTATTTATAAAGCGCCAATAGTTCGCTCAGCGCTGAAAAATTACAGAAAATTACACCGCTGCAGACTGAAAAGGAAAGGTAATTTGTAATAGCATTATATTTCAATATGGATTGTGTTGCAATTGTATATGCTATTATATGTTTTTTTTTATATGCAATTTTTTCCTCACGAAAGTGGAGTTACCCTTTAAATGATGTCTCTCCCATAGACGTATATGCAAAATATTTTGTAACACTTTCCACTTTTATCGAAGTTTGGCATTTAGATATTTAGGGCGGCCATTAGCATATTACCCATAGCTTGGCTTCCATAAACCGATATTACAGTGTTAATACAACACATCTGAACATCAAATAATATTTGGCAAAATAGCCGATGGACATATACTATGATTTTAAAACTATACACAATGGTATATTTAGTTCTTGTCTTCAGATAAGGCAGTAGTTCCCAATCTCAGTCCTCAAGTACACCCAACAGATAACGTTTAAGGATTTTCATCATCTTGCACAAGTGAAATTAATATCCATGGCTTAGTATGACAGCTGTTTTAACCAAGGGGAAATTCCCCAAACATAACATGTTGGGGGTAATTGAAGAAAGAGTTTGGGAAGTAAAGGATAAAATTGCAGCTGTGAAGTAGTTAATCCTCAAAGATCACAACAAGATCACTAATGTCAAGTTTCAGTGAGCTCCAACAGTTTAGAGATTTCTGTGTATTTATATTAGAAGGCTGGCAGTCTGCCAAGATCCTGGTGTAAGGGCTCGTTTACACCATATACAGTCAGGTCCATAAATATTGGGACATGGACACAATTCTAACATTTTTGGCAGTATACACCACCACAATGGATTTGAAATGAAACAAACAAGATGTGCTTTAACTGTAGACTGTCAGCTTTAATCTGATGGTATTTACATCCAAATCAGGTGAACGGTGTAGGAATTACAACAGTTTGCATATGTGCCTCCCACTTGTTAAGGGACCAAAAGTAATGGGACAGAATAATAATTATAAATCAAACTTTCACTTTTTAATACTTGGTTGCAAATCCTTTGCAGTCAGTTACAGCCTGAAGTGTGGAACGCATAGACATCACCAGACGCTGGGTTTCATCCCTGGTGATGCTCTGCCAGGCCTCTACTGCAACTGTCTTCAGTTCCTGCTTGTTCTTGGGGCATTTTCCCTTCAGTTTTGCCTTCAGCAAGTGAAATGCATGCTCAATCGGATTCAGGTCAGGTGATTGACTTGGTCATTGTATAACATTCCACTGCTTTCCCTTCAAAAACTCTTTGGCTGCTTTTGCAGTCTGCTTTGGGTCATTGTCCATCTGCACTGTGAAGCGGCGTCCAATGAGTTCTGAAGCATTTGGCTGAATATGAGCAGATAATATTCCCGAAACACTTCAGAATTCATCTTGCTGCTTTTGTCAGCAGTCACATCATCAATAAATACAAGAGAACCAGTTCCATTGGCAGCCATACATGCCCACGCCATGACACTACCACCACCATGCTTCACTGATGAGGTGGTATGCTTAGGATCATGAGCAGTTCCTTTCCTTCTCCATACTCTTCTCTTCCCATCACTCTGGTACAAGTTGATCTTGGTCTCATCTGTCCATAGGATGTTGTTCCAGAACTGTGAAGGCTTTTTTACATGTCGTTTGGCAAACTCTAATCTGGCCTTCCTGTTTTTGAGGCTCACCAATGGTTTACATCTTGTGGTGGACCCTCTGTATTCACTCTGGTGAAGTCTTCTCTTGATTGTTGACTTTGACACACATACACCTACCTCCTGGAGAGTGTTCTTGATCTGGCCAACTGCTGTGAAGGGTGTTTTCTTCACCAGGGAAAGAATTCTTCGCTCATCCACCACAGTTGTTTTCCGTGGTCTTCCGGGTCTTTTGGTGTTGCTGAGCTCACCGGTGCGTTCCTTCTTTTTAAGAATGTTCCAAACAGTTGTTGTGGCCACGCCTAATGTTTTTGCTATCTCTCTGATGGGTTTGTTTCGTGTTTTCAGCCTAATGATGGCTTGCTTCACTGATAGTGACAGCTCTTTGGATCTCATCTTGAGAGTTGACAGCAACAGATTCCAAATGCAAATAGCACACTTGAAATTTGCATTTGGAATGTAATTGGGATAATGAGGGAATAACACACACTTGGCCATGGAACAGCTGAGAAGCCAATTGTCCCATTACTTTTGGTCCCTTAACAAGTGGGAGGCACATATGCAAACTGTTGTAATTCCTACACCGTTCACCTGATTTGGATGTAAATACCCTCAAATTAAAGCTGACAGTCTGCAGTTAAAGCACATCTTGTTCGTTTAATTTCAAATCCATTGTGGTGGTGTATAGAGCCAAAAATGTTAGAATTGTGTAGATGTCCCAATATTTATGGACCTGACTGTAGGTGTCATTACTGCGCAGGCGGGAGATCAGGAGGTGCATGTTGGGATAGCCAGCAGCACCTACTCCCGGAAATATACATTAGTGGGCTTCAGATACCCACACCCTTCATGGTCCCTGCCTGCTTCCGAAATCAAGGTAAAATATTACAGATTTACAACTAACGAGAATTATATCAGTTATAACATTATTCAAATATAAATGTGCAAGTTGTAACAATCACGGGGGAGCTTTTTAAAAAAAATTGTATTATAGGAACTGGAACTCCACTTTAACAAACCCGCTTCTTAGTAATGTACTTTTAAAACAAATGATTATGATTGAGGCGGTTTCATAAATTCTGAATATAGGTTAAAGGGCTTTTATACATAGAAACGGTTTTTCCAGCACCTTTGCTGTCTCTAAACTGAATGTTAACATTGAAGATGAATCTGTAAAGAAGGATGTACTGTATTAATATAATCCTACATTGACCCCCAACGTAATATAATATAATAATAAGCAACTAACATTTTCTAAAATGTGTTTTTCCCTGACAGGCTAGAGCACGTGTCAAACCCAAGGCCCCCTGGGGCTGAATCTGGTCTGGGAGGATAATTCATGTGGCCCTTGCACCTCTCCTGCAGCTGTGGCACCTCTCTCATCTCCACTCCCACCTTGTCCCAGCAGTCAGCAGCAGAACAGAACTCCTCCACGAGAGCCTGCACCTGTCTGGCAGTTACAGCACTCCCTCGTCTCCACCTCCCCTGGTCTCAGCATTCAGCAGACTCTGGAAGCAGCACAAAATAAGGGGGGTGGCTGGGGACACTTTAATTTAAGGGAGGGTGGGGGACTCGACTTTTGTTGGGGGGGCTCTTGACATCTGATGTAAAGGGGTGCTCTGCACATCTAGTCTTAGCGATACAGCTGGTCTTTTGAGAGCTGATGCAGCCTACAGTGAAATTGAGTTTGAAACACCTGGGCTAGAGGATAAAAGAAAATAGCCGTCTTGGACATCAGCCCTCATTTTTCATTTGGCTCAGTGTTTTATATATTAGCTTTGCATTATGTTGCCCATTTGAATGGAAATCTGCAGACTAGAATGGCAAAATATGTAAAAACTTCAGAGCTTATTTATAGAAGCAGGAGAAAAAACAAAACAAAAAAAACACCATACTACACCATAGTGAGAACATGCTCACAGGGGCCAATCATACTGTATCTCAACTTTCACAGAGAAAAAAAATTAAACCTGTTCAGTGACGACTACTGAGGGTTTTGTAACATTGTTTAAATGAAATGTCACTGTGCACATTTTCTACACAAGGAAATTCTTTCATTAGATCTCATGCTAAATAATAAGCTTTTTCTACACTGCATGTTACTAATTGCACATGAAAGGTTATGACAAAGTCATGTATAGATGGATAAGTAACAATCTCACCTGTTAGTAACACCCTTAATTTACTGGAAGACACAGTTACAGCAACTGGACTGGAATAGCTAGCATCTGCCACATGGAGATTGAGGTGGACCAAAGGCTCATTGACTTCCTGGAGAATACTGGAACTAAGAGTCTGGTCTACACGCCAGCTTACCGAAGATAAGTGTGATACTGCAAAAACAGAAGAGCATTTACAACAATTACATGTTTATAATTTATAGGGCTGCCTCAATTAAATAGGTAATAGTTTGTTTGGACAGAAAGAAAATCATTTACTTCTGTGACTGTATAATTAATGAAAGGTTATTTCTGTGCATTTTAATAGTGTATCATTGAAATGTAAGAGAAAGTGCAACTATTTATTGTGCAATGATAGATAACATAGTGAACAATTACTACAACTTAATCTAGGACACAAGCTTCTGATAAATGTAATACACTGAATGTTTAATCAAAGTGGTTCTAAAGCCTGGACAGTTTTATCTTATTGCATTCCCTACATTAAGGCAAATGATTTTCCAGTGTTTGTATCGCACCTTCACTCCCCTTTATCCTTACCTGGCTCCTATTTTAAACCAGCACTGTGCCCATCTGCAGAGGCTCTCTCCTCTCACTCTGCTCAGAGGGAGCAGCAGCAGCCACTGGCTCCTGCTACTGTCAATCAAATCCCGAGAGCAGGGGCAGAACGAGCCTGCAGGTGTTCCCCAATAACAAGCGGACTGCTATGGGGCACACACAAAAGAAGAGTAGCCTACAGCACCATTGAAGGACCCCAGAGGAAGACGTTCAGAGTCGCTCTGTGCAATACCAATGCAAAACTGAATGAATCAGTTTCATTCATTAACAATGATTGCAAATATCAATGAAATACACTGGTATTAGCAATCATAATGTGTTAAAAAAAAAATCCTGATAATTTGACCAGAGTAGTAATATGTTACTGCAATGTTACAATTGCATTGCTTTGGTCACAGTGTGCTGAAAGATAAAATAGTAAAAAATAGAAAAAATGTAATACAAAAAATAGAAACATTTGAAAAAAAAAAACAAAACAAATTCAATTACTATTATTATTTTCACCAAAGAAATGTAGCAAATGTATTTTGACTTAAATGTATTTGACATTTTATTTATTTGCAAAATTTTATAGCAGAAACGAAGAAAAGTGCATTTTTTTTTTCAAGCATTACAGGTGTTTTTTTGTTTTAATTTAGCAAAAAAACAAATATGGGTACAGTGTTGCATGACAGCGCAATTGTCAAAGTGCGACAGCGCTGAAACCTGAAAATTGGCCTTGGCAGGAAGGGGGTATAAGTGCCCGGTATTGAAGTGGTTAAAGTAATTTTTTAATTTGATTTTCAGTTGCACATTTCTGTGATTTTATTAACTGTAGATATTTGTAGATTAACCACTAGAACAGTGATGGTGAACCTTTTTGAGCCCGAGTGCCCAAACTGCAACACAAAACACTGGAATTAATCACTTGCCTACCGGGCACTTCTACCCCCTTCCTGCCCAGGACAATTTTCAGCTTTCAGTGGTGTTGCACTTAACAATGACAATTGTGCGGTCATGCAACACTGTAACCATATGCAATTTTTATCATTTTTTCACACAAATAGAGCTTTTTTTGGTGGTATTTAATCACCACTGGATGTTTTATTTTTTGCACTATAAATGAAAAAGAGCAAAAAATTAAAAACATAAAAGGTTTCCTTTGCTTCTATTCTAAAATTTTGCAAACAGGTAATATTTCTTCTTTGATGTGCGTTGGTGAGGCTGCACCGATAGGCATTGATGAGGCGGCACAGATAGGTAGCACTGATGAGGCGGCACTGGTGAGCATTGATGAGGAGGCACTGATATGCAGGAAATGATGGGCACTGATAAGCGGCACTGACTGATAGCACCAACTGGAGGCACTGACAGACGGCACTGACCAGCGGCACTGCTGGGCATCATTGATGGGTGGCACTGATGGGCAGCACTAATGAGGTGGCACTGATATGCGGCACTGATTGCTGATTGGCGACACCGATAATGGGTATTGATAGACAGCACTGATAGGTGGCACTGACATCACTGCTGGGCACTGACTGGCGGCACTGCTGGGCACTGACTGGCACAACCGCTGGCACTGACTGGCAGCACTGCTGGGCTGCACTGACTGGGCACTGGTGGGTGGCACAGGTGGGTTGGCACAGGTGGGTGGCACTACTGGGCACAAGTAGGTGGCACTTCTGGGCACAGGTGGGCACATTGCTGGGCACAGGTGGGTGCACTGCTGGGCACAGGTGGGTGCATTGCTGGGCACAGGTGGGCGCACTGCTGGGCACAGGTGGGTGGAACTTGTGTGTGGCACTGCTGGGCACCGATCATCAGGGCACTGATGATCAGTGACCCTGATGATCGGTGCCATTCCCTGCTCTGACAACTGCCGGTTTTCGGCAGTACTTTCCTCACGATCTGACAGCGTGAGGAAAGTGCAGCCGAGAACCGGCATTTGCATTTCCCGGTGATCAGCGTGTCATTGGACACGGCTGATCACGTGGTAAAAGGACGCTGTGATTGACCTTTTACCACGTCACGTGATCAGCTGTGTCCGTAGGACACAGCGATCACAGAGATCGCCCGGTGTGTGCCCCCGGGGTGCGCAGGAGAGCGCGTTCTTCCTTTTCTTCCTGGCGTGCCCACTGAGATGGCTCCGCGTGCCAGCTCTGGCACACGTGCCATAGGTTCGCCATCACTGCACTAGAATCATTGCAGGTTAGCCAATAAAATTACTCTAAGGCTACGTTCACACTAGCGTTGTGTGCAGGCAGCAGAGAGGCGTTTGGGAAGCGTTTTTACCGTTTCCCAAACACCTCTGCCAATTCTGCACATTACAGCACATGGTGCTGTTCTAATGGGAGCGTTTGCGTTGCGTTGCGGCAAAACGGACGCCACTGGTCGAGTCAGGAGGCTTTGAAGCTTCCTATTCTCGTCTATGGTGCTGCTCCGCAAACGCCCGGCCGGCGTTTGCAGTGCGGTGCAACGCGGTTGCGGGGCGTTTGCGGTGCGGTAACACCACTCAAACTGCATTATAGGCGTTTGTGGGGCGTTATTAACGCTCGGCAAATGCCTAGCAACCGCCGCTAAACCGCGCATGCGGCGTTTGCGGAGCGTTAAAAAACGCTCCGCAAACGCCGGACCAACGCTTGCCAAACGCTATAGGGGTAAAACAGCCAAGTGTGAACAATCCCTAACTGCTGTTGAAATTAGATATTAGTAACACAGGGAGTGTGTTGTTTGAAGAAGTAAAGCACCACCTTTGTGGAACCTACATGTGTAATGAACAAATATGAGATCAATGCACATACTGTATATAATTACAAATCATATATAGAAGCAGGTCTTTGAGCTGCTAACATATACTGACAAGCCCCATTCACATCTAGCCAATTTCTTTTTTTTCATATATATCTAAAAAAAAAAAAAAAAATCAATCAATAAATAAAAATAATTCAAAAGGGTATATATTACCTGTAAAAAGGCAACAACACTGCACCATATAAATAACTTGTAATCTACAGAAACTCAATGAGCAGTTCTTTGCAGAGGAAGGTTTTGTATTTTTACATTTAGTATTATGTTGCACTTGTTTTGTTCAGTACTGTATCTTCCTTTAATATGAGGATAAGCATTTGGACTGAATGCTAAAGTTGGTGCTTTAGAGTGATGATATTGCAATGGTCTAGGTAAGTGCATTCCATTTATTTACACAATGATTAGTAAATGTAGCAATTATTCAAATATGCAATCATTATTTTGAGTGTTTAGACAACGTTGTGTTAGCAGTGTTATTTAAAAAAAGAAAAAAAAAAAAGTCAAGAGACTATCATGGTTCTCTGGCTTCTGAATTAATGACTTGAAGTAGAACAGCTGCTTGTGAAGGCAAAACATCTTATCTGCATATTTTTTTTCATGTCAGCCACTCAAAACCAGAGGGTCAGCATTCCACTGCTAAAAGGTTTTCTTGAAGGAGGTTGTTCAGATTGAATTAGAATGATAAGAAATGAAAGACTATTTTTATTTCCATTACAAAAGTTGCCTAGGTGGCTCTTTCATTCATCTATAAAGAACCTGTAGTCACACCTGCACAGAAGTAAACACTTTCCAGCTGAGCAGAGGGCAGTAAGGAATGGGTCCTTGCGGCTTTTTAACCGCTTCCAGACCGGACACTTTTACCCCCTTCCTGACCAGGGCAATTTTCAGCTTTCAGCGCTATCACACTTTGAATGACAATTGCGCAGTCATGCAACACTGTATCCAAATGAATTTTTTACCATTTCTTTGACACAGATAAAGCTTTATTTTTGTGGTATTTATTCACCGCTGGGATTTTTATTTTTTTTGCTATGTAAATGAAAACGTCCAAAAATTTTCAAAAAAATAAATAAAATGTGCAAATAAATAATATTTCATCATAAATCTTTGCCAAAATTTATTGTGTTATCTTTTTAGTAAAAAAAAAAATCCAAATTAGTTTAGAACCAAAAATTATAATTTTTAAACATTTTTTTTTTATATTTTTATATTATTTTTTATTTTTATTTTTTTTTTACATACTGTCACCCTAGCAGTACAGTGTCACCATGGTGACACTGTACTACTTGTGGGGGGAGATGAAGATTTTTTTTTTTTTACACTGATTGCTTTTACACCCATATAGGATGTAAAAGCAATCATTTCTCTTTCTCTCTGTCTGCATTCTTGCACTCATTGAGAAGTACTGAGTGAGCTGTGATTGGTCACAGCTTGTCACATGGTACAAGGCTGTTGTGAATAGCCTTGTACCATGTGACCTCTGTGATCATTCACAGATTTCACACGTAGTAAGCAATGATGTCACAAGTGACAACTTGCTTACTACTTTGCATGTGATCACTGATTGGCCAATCAGTGATCACATGATCGGGACCTCGTACAGAGGTCCCGTCCGACGATCAGTGTTTCACTGTGTCTGGAGGACACAGTGGGCACTGAATTACGGTGCTGCACGCTCCCAGGGAGGTCGTTTATAAACGGCCACCCGACCCTGCACTGCCACCGTCCTGCCGTTTATATGCAACGGCCGGTTGGGAAGTGGTTAATAGTAGGTTAGAAGAGAGGTGGAGGGATCCCTAGGGTTTTTATTCCAAACCGAGACAGTATTTTCAGCAGGTCCTTATTCTCACATGAAGAGGAAGGTGGAGTTCGGTAAGGCACAACTTGTATACTCACAGCGAAGGCTACTCTCCCTCAATGTCTCTTGTAAAGCGGTCTGCTTTTCTTCATAAGAACGACACAAAGAGACTGCATGTTCTGGAAATGTAATACATTGTTTAATGTAAGATGATACACCCATATTTCAATCAGCTAATATTCTCTGAACCAATATTCATTCTATTAAAAAACAGAGCACTGGAAAAGTGGATGAAATGCTTAAAGCAAAGTGTAGTAAAACATTCAAAGCCAAACTACATCAGTCAATCATATATTAAATAGTTATTGCTTCATACATCTTCTTTTCAGCAGTAACACCTGTCTAAAATGTTTTAAAGCCCAATTGAATTGGACGTTTAAATTAGCTAAATACATTTCAGAATCATCAAAACCAAAAAAAAGTGTTCAATGTCTTGGTCCCCTTTCACACCGATTGTCCGATCAGGTCCGCCTGTCAGTTTTTCAGGCGGATTCAATCGGACCATCCATAGCTCTCTATGGTGTGGCGGTTGTCAGCAGACATGTGTCCACTGACACCTGCCAATATCCGATCTGATTCTATACACTAAAAACAGAAGGATTGGGATCAATTCCCCATCCATCTGGCAGGTCGGAACAGATGACAGTCGGATGCAAACGGACAGGCGGTCCATTTCCATCCAACTGCCCATATAGAACAACAGGCTGTGTCTGTGTCTGCTCTGCATAACACAGACCTGTGATACGGCTGTTCAGCTGGGATCAAAGGAGAGATCCCCCAGCTGAGCAGGCAGATTCGCTTGACAGAATCCACTCCGTCTGAAAGGGGACTTACAATCTGTTTTTTTCTAAAGCAACTATAGCCCAAGTAGAAACGCCTGTCCCCTGCCAGCAGCAGCAGACTGGGACGCTTGATCTCTACAGTATATGGAAGCAGTGTTCGCATGGCAGAGGTCAGAAACGCTCTATTTGATCAGACCTATAGCTTTGCAATCAGCAAAGCTCATGCTCCCCGCTGGTTAAAAAGCTCTTGTTCTGACTCAACAGGGAGTGTATTAGACCTTTGAAGAGAGACCACTGCGTCTCCAAAGAAAACAAGGGACCCAGTCTGGATTATGATGGTTTATTTTTAAAGACCAGCTGGAAAACGTTAAACAGGTCTTGATTTGATGCACCTGGAATGTATTTAGAGGATTTAAATTGAATGTTTATTTGGGCCTTAAAGTGGTTGTAAAGCCACAAGGTTAAAAACCTTCTGTGTGCAGCAGTGCCCCCAGCCCCCTCATTACTTACCTGAGCCCCCTTGTGATCCATCGATGTGCACCACAGCCTCAGCTGTCCCCGGTCTCTGCCTCCTCATTAGCTGAGAGCAAGCGGGAGCCATTGGCTGCTGTCAATCACAGCCAGTTAGCCAATGAGGAGGGGGTGGGGCAGGCCACGGCTCCGTGTGCTCCCATAGCAAGCTGCTTGCTATGGGGGCACCCGACAGAAAGGAGGAGCCAGGAGCGCCGGCAGGGGACCCAAGAAGAGGAGGATCCAGGATGTTCTGTGCAAAACCACCGCAGACAGCAGGAAAGTATAACATGTTCGTTATTTTACAAAAAAAAGTGGGGAAGGATTAGAACTTCCTGTCCTGCTGACAATGGCTTAACCAGGCAGGAAGGGAACATACAAATCTGAAACCTGGACACAGACAGAAATAAAATTTGGCAGGGGTTCAAGCTTTAGTCTACTTTTAAACAAGTAATAATATTTAAGTTCTTTTTATTAGTATTCATTAATAATATAAATATTTCAGTATGTGTTGCTGTTGGCGAGTACCCCTAACTTCCATTTGGTAAAACATTATCAGCAGACCAGAAATAATAAGAGCCCCAGATATCAGTAAAAACCAGGACAGGAGTTATAGTCCTTCCCCATCCTATACAAATCTAAGTTTTGTCTGGACTTGCACTAATCAGTAGATGCAGCAGCATCTGTGCTGTGGATAGGTAATCATAAATAGATTAGGTATTATTTAACTAACCTAGGACTAAGGCAGGCCATACATTAAACATTTTGTTTGTTTAACCAGTGGGATTAAAAGAAAAAAAAAAATTACCTGATTTCCCTATTCACACATTTAATTTGGATAGGGGAATCCTTCCCACTGAGTCATTATATTCTGACAGCGGGGAGCCCTTCCCACCATCAGAATACATTAATCAGTGCTGCTGGCTATAGTTAGCTGCACCAATCATTTAGGAAAAACCTGACAGGCTGGTTGTACACAAGCTGATCTACCAATCGACTTGTGTATATACCAGCCTGCCCATACTTGGAACAAACTTTGAGCAGTCCCTGCTGACCTGGCCTAATTTTAATCCATGTATGGCCACCTTAACAGAAGGTCAGGCATGTTATTTAGAAGTCTATGCTTCACATTTTACAATTTTCTGTATGCCATAATGAATCTATTTAAAAAGACCCAAACTTATCTGAAAATTACCAGAATGCTAACAATACTTTTAAAGGAAACATGTAATGACAGAATTACTGGGCTCCCACTGCCGATCTCTTTCTAAAAATGTCAGACCCCCATATTTCTCTCATGACTGACCATTTGAAAGCACACAGGGTCCACAAAAATCTGACTGCGCAGACATGGTTAGTTTTAGAAATAATGGGTTCCTCCATTCTTACCTTTGGGAAGCCCCAGTTGCTGAAGCTCACTGGACAGATTGTCACTGCTAACATTGTGCTTGGCTGCACTTGAAAGAATAAAACAAAGTACAGCAATTGTCGCTTTAATGTCACCAGACTCTACAGGAAAAGAAAGATAGACAAAAGCAAAAATAAATTATATTCATCCAAAAAGTATTATTAGTTTAATGTTCCTAAATATTCATTTGTCACTGCATTTTAGAGACTGCATACAGCAGTAAGTAAGCAATATGTTGACACTCTGCACCCTGCAAGCCTCTAGATGGCATTTTTCCTTATTTACCTGGTGATCCTGCCAACAACATGCTTCCTGTCTAAGAGTGACAATGCCAAGTCATTGTACTGTATCTATGAAGGAGCAGCATTGTCATTCTGGGACAAAAAATGGGTTGCAACATAACATGGGAGGAGGAGTTTTTTTGTAGTCGTAACTCACTTCCTGATAACATTGTTTCAGATAAGACTGCAAAATATTGAACAGATATAACAAAACACATTCAATCGCATATTTAGCACACCAAATAAGGGCAGTTCATAGTTAGGGTTTACATACATAAAGGACTTGAAAGTCATCTGCCATGTTAGCATTTCCTCTCAACAAAGAAACTAGGTTGTGCACACAAGCAGTAATTTGCATCAGTATTTCTTTTCTCTCTATACAAGCAAATGGTAATTGCAAAAGTGGCTCAAAGAAACTTGAAGCACCTATGGCAGCATGCACACGGGGCGTTTTAATAACGCTGGTAATGTTAGCTGTGTAAAGTCACGTTACAAATGTGATTTTTTCAGCATTTTTGTATTAGCGTTTAGCCGCGTTTGAGGGTTTTTCTTTTTTAAAAAAAACTTCCAAAAACGCTTGTTTGCCACGATTTACTGTGCTTTTCAGCGTTAGAGCGTTTTTTACAGCTAAAAAAACTCCTCTAGTCCTGGGTTTTTTTTCCATCCAAGAAACGCCCCTACCAAAAAACCTTGATTACAGTCTATGTGTGCGTGGACACATAGGATAACATGCTGGGGAGTTTACTAGCTGTAGAAATAAAAACATCAAAAGCCAAAAACAGCAGCTGTAAAAATGTCCAGTGTGCATGAGGGCTAAAACTGAGCTCAAACACAAGCTGTGTGCACCACAAAGCATGCTGCTTTTGCCCATCAATACAAGCCCAAACATTTGTGGCACAGAATACACAGATCTGCCTCAGAAACTCCAGTTACCTCCAGGTTAGTGCGGCAACTGTAATTCTAGAAACACATTTATACTAAAATACAATATACAAATAATAATGTTCTTACCAAAACGAGCATCAGATGTTAGCTTCAGAATTTTTTCATACTGTTAAAACAAGATAATAGAGGAATGAGCTGCATACTTTTTCTTAAAGCTGAAATTTTATTTTCTTACTTTTTGGCTTTCTATGGCACTCCCCATAAATATGCTAATGAGATTTTGTAAATAAATGTTTCTGTTTTCATTATATACTTTGGGTCTCTGTATTTCTCTATGCAATGCAGGCAGATCATGGCTGGTGTGAGGGGCTGTCTAGGTGCTGTACTTCGCTTCATGAGAACCCTTAGTACTCCACTCAAGAGTCCTTAGCCCTGATGCAAGCAGTAGCTGACTCATAGGAGGAGGAGGCATGTAAATATGAAAAAACCTTAATGGGTAGGGGTCAGTCTGGTGGAATGGGTGTTTCTAGGCAGGCATTTTCTTGCAGACGCCCACATGTAATGCTGACCCTCCATGACTGAAAGATATGAAATCCAATAAATGAATGGGGTGGAAATAGGCTCTGACTTGCTGCAGCTTCTAATGCAGGGGTCTCCAACCTGCAGGCCATAGGCCTCATGCAACCTACTTCAAGATTTTAACCTGCCCACATCAGCTGTGTTGCACTCTGATGACGACGCTGATGTAAGGGGAACTCTGAAGAGAAAGGTGTAGACAGAATGTATTTTTGTTCAATCTGTATTAATGAGTCAAGTAATTTGGAATTTCTTTGCTTTCTTTTACTTACACTATTTCTCTGTTGTTCTGAATCATATCATTCTGATTACAAATAATCTGTGTAAAACGTAAACATTTTTTTTTTCATTCATTTATAAAATATACAATGTGGCCCTCGTACTGAAAAGTTTGAAGACCCCTGTTCTAATACACAATGTTAAAAAAAAAAAAAAGCTGTGTGCAGTGAAATCAGGGCAAGCAGTTCAGGTAAAGAAGAAGAATGTGTACAACTTTGCAAAACTGAAGGTAAAACTGGAGTTCAGCTTTGATCACTTTCAACCAATAATCTCTTGGGCTGTTTAACTTACATCAATGGTTTCTCCCAGCTGTTCCTTTAACACTTGGGCACAGATCAACTTTAGCTTAACAGAGGACTGAAAATAGAAAAGGATAAAATGTGAGAAAATTGTTGTCATGAGGAGCAAAAGTAAAAAAACAAAACAAAAAAAAACTGATGTTAAAGGAGACCTTTCCTGAGAAAAACAAGAAGGCTGCCAGTGCTGATATCACATTCTCCAGGGTAATTAGAACAAAGTGTTTTCACAAGGGAGTGTTATCAACTAGACAAGAGTATCATGCTTTTTATATAGGAATTGTTCAAACTTTCTACTTAACTATTTTAGCCAATGTGCTGATCTCTGCCAGAACCCAATCAGGGCAATCCAAGTCACCGCAAAACCGGAACCTCTAAAAGGAAAATAAGGAAATATGTGTTAATTTTGTAAAAAGAAGATATCAATTGATTTCAGTGTGCCCTTGCAGAACACGTGCAGAAAAACCGACATCTCTTCACCATGGTGTGAACAAACCCTTAAACACGTAAGTCAATAAAGAAGGGGCAGTTGGAGTGTTTGGAAATGGAACTGCAAGTTAAATAATGGAATAAAGATTCAGCATCAGGTACCCATGAGCCATGAGAACAGGCAGACTTAATGTTTGTAATTATCCGTAGATGCTGACTAACTGCTCTTATCCTTGGCAACCTTTGTCAGACTGTGATGTGTTTCTCCTATGCTTGTCTTTCCAGGTAAGTAACAGGTTAGTAATAGATTGTAGCAAGTAAAAGGATAAACAAATGCAACCAATGAGTTTGTTTTCATTTAAAATTTGGACTCTCCCATCTGATTAATTTTCTAAAATCAAAGTATAGCTTCTGCCAAACAATGGCCCCCATTAACACACATCTACAGTATGTCAATAGAGGAGTCATCCCCTCCAAGCAAATAGGGAGATTAGGGAACATAACAGTCGTTTGATCTGGGAATGAATATAGAATACGTCTAGGTTTAAAGCCCAACTCCTGACTAAATGTTTTATTATTATACCCCCATATATGGAAAAAAATACCTTTAATCTACAGCTGTCCTTCACAGTACTCTCTTTTTTGCCACAAGATGTACTCAGTCTTCTGGGAGTTGACACCTGGTAGCACTCAACCAGGAAGACTGAGAACACAGTGTGAGTGCAGAGCGTCATGGGCTCACTCCATGAGGGGGGTGTCACTCATTGTGGTGCATCACATTTATTGTTTAATGTTGAAGACAGTGGTGCTGATAAATGAGGACCTCTCACCACTGTGAGGGTTAATTGCTTGTTTTGTCTAGGGGAGAGGCGAAACTGGTATACTTACCTGATTCTCTTCTCCCCACGATCAGGCAGTAGACTGTGACTCAACATCCTCATATCCAGTGCAGGGCTATGTTCCCTTCTCTGTTCTTGATAACATCAGAACCCCAGACTGAAGGAGCAAGGGGGTGCATATACTGAATGTTCAAGCCAGTAGCATGCATATAAAAAATACCAGAACTGTACAGCAGCAAAAGTATTAAAAACCCCCGTATCACATACAAGAAAGAGCACCCAGTTTTAGGGTAAGCACAGACACTGCAGTCTACATTTTTCCTTTATAAACGTCTATAGCCTTTGTCAAGTAAATAAACATGAAGGTCAGGGCACTCACGGTATGTGAAAGAGCATAAATGATCCAAGGTTTGGGCAAAGTTCAGTCAAAATTTAAAAGCATACATTCACTTCCACATTGGATTTCACTTCAAGTCTATTATTATTCTGATTGATCTTGACATTTGTAGAATTCTGTGATACGTAGTCACTATGCCCTGTGAGTAGGCACTGCTGTGTAACATTTCAGAGAGCCTGCCTTCTATACTACAGAGGTACTGAGAGGAGTTTCCAGAGGTGGAGTCAGTACAAGAATCACTGATTGCAGGCAGCAAGGTACCATCGGATATGTGGTCCTTAGAAATTGAAGGTAAACAGCAGAAGTTGCAAAGCATGCAGGGATTCCAGGAAAGTTGTGGAAAGATGACAGGCAGAACTCTCAATATGAAAAGAGATTTTTCAAGTAAACTTGTATTGTCAAATAAAACTGTTTGTATTGTTATTACAATGCTGAAGTTATAAGATGACAGTGTATGCTGTGACCATAGAACTTATTTAAAAGGATAAGATCACCTTTGTAACATGTTCCATCCGTTTTTAAAGTGGAATATGTAACATGTTCCCATAGCTGCAGCCGCTGCCCCCCCCACAGATAGTATGGGGAGAAGTTTCCCTGTAGTATCTGTCAGATTTGATAACAGCATGGCCGTTTGGGCGGAGCACCGTGGCAGTTCATTGAAGCTTCCTGTCAGTATATCTGCTTGCTCGTCCATCCCATACAGCTAGCAGATATACTGACATCTGCAGAAGTCCTGCTTGGCATCAGCAATCTACTGATCACTGGTGCAATGCTTTACAGGCTTCTTTAGACAAAAATAATAAATGCACATTTTTTGTACCTGCAAAAAAAGTGCATTTATTATTTTTGTCCAAAAGGTGAACGTATCTTTTAATAACATGGAACATTTGTAAGCATCTGCATGGAGTCTGCACCTTCCAATGCACTGTGCTCCTAAGCAGCACACAGACTTATTAATATTCCTCCTGGCAGCTCCCAGACAGATCTTGTTATTACACTATAATAATAATACAGGCACAGACATGGCTGACAGGACATCTAATCAATGTACTGCTGTGCCTCTGTAGGGGCACACCTTCCATCACTGACCAGGAGGGAGAAGAAGATGAAAGATCCTCCTACGTGTACTACACTCAGCACACAACTATTCTCATCATCCAACCCTAATCCCTCAGACAAATGTCTCCACAATCAGCAGATGACAGATCAGCCCCAGCACTGCACACTCACCATATTGTCAGCAACACCAACTCTTCCTGTCAGCTGTCCACACACCGATCATGTGACTTCTCCACCTTCAACAACTTTATTAGAACAGAACACGGAGTCTGTCTTCCCACTGTGGGGCACTGTGGTGCTGACTTTGCTGACTTCAGAAGAAATGCGAAAGAATGGAGGGGGTGTGCTTTTATTATCCTGCAGAGAGGACAAGCTGCTATATGTACTGCAGGAGAAGTAGGCAGGAGTCGGACAAAAATATGGAAACACTACATGATTTGCAGTTCAAGTGACGACAAGGGACTGAGATTGAGCTCTGCAGTCACTATTGCAGCAGTTGTTTTCTTACTATGGTTACAATCCTGCGTAATGTCCTTTTGTCTCTTTCGGTCAGTTGACCATATCAGCTGTGCTTCTCAGACATTTTCCCAGAAACTGTCTATGTTGTCATAACTTTTAATACTGTACCTCGTGATACGGCAAATAAATAGACAACTTCAATCACAGAGGCACCAGCTAAGCGGGCACCATCAATTTACCCTCTTTGGAGCTCAGTAAATCTGACATGACTCATTACTAGCAGCGCACGCCGTGAATGACAAAAGTGAGGCTTCCCACTTGTTAGGTGTCTCATCACACAGCGGGAGCAAAAGAATGTTACATCATTTCGTCTTTCAATGCAAAACGTTGTGACTTTCACACCTGCAAATCATGTAGTGCTTCCATTTTTTTGTTCAACCCTTGTAGATACCCCTTACTTACGTGTGGCTGCAGGGCAGGGAATTCCTCAGCCGCCTGTGGTTGGGATAGCTGAGGCAGATTTGAACTAGTATATGAATATGCTTGAGCTCATCCTTACTACAGAGTCCCCACCAGTACAGACTCCCCATGTCCCAGTATAGACCCCTTAGTACAGACACCACCCTTTCCCAGTACAGACCCCTCAATACAGACAACCCTTATCCCAGTACAGACACCCCCTATCCCAATAAAGACTCCTCAGTACAGACACCCCCTATGCCATTAAAGACTCCTCAGTACAGATACCCCCTATCCCAGTACAGACACCCCCTATCCCAGTACAGACTCCTCAGTACAGACCCCTCTATCCCAGTACAGACACCCCATATCCCATTAAAGACTCAGTACAGACACCCCCTATGCCATTAAAGACTCCTCAGTACAGATACCCCCTATCCCAGTACAGACACCCCCTATCCCAGTACAGACTCCTCAGTACAGACCCTCTCTATCCCAGTACAGACACCCCATATCCCATTACTCCTCAGTACAGACACCCCCTATAGTACAGACACCCCATATCCCATTAAAGACTCCTCAGTACAGACACCCCCTATCCCAGTACAGACACCCCCTATCCCAGTACAGACCCCTCAGTACAGACACTCCCTATCCCATTAAAGACTCCTCAGTACAGACACACCCCCTATGCCATTAAAGACTCCTCAGTACAGATACCCCCTATCCCAGTACAGACACCCCCCTAATCCCAGTACAGACTCCTCAGTACAGACCCTCTCTATCCCAGTACAGACACCCCATATCCCATTAAAGACTCCTCAGTACAGAACACCCCCTATCCCAGTACCACAGTACAGACACACCCCATATGCCATTAAAGACTCCTCAGTACAGACACCCCCTATCCCAGTACAGACACCCCCTATCCCAGTACAGACCCCTCAGTACAGACACTCCCTATCCCATTAAAGACTACTCAGTACAGACACCCCCTATCCCAGTACAGACTCCTCAGTACAGACCAGGGGCAGACTGACCATTTGGAAACTCGGGCACTGCCCGAGGGCCCGGGGTCAGTAGCGGGTCCCATGAGATGCCCCTGGTACCTTTTTCATAGGTTTTTTTGAGTTTGGGCAAGGACACAGGGGCCCCATGATCCCCTATTGCCCAGGGGCCCCATGAGTTGTCAGTCCGCCCCTGGTACAGACACCCCCTATCCTAGTACAGACTCCTCAGTACAATCACCCCCTATCCTAGTACAGACTCCTCAGTACAGACACCCCCTATCCTTGTACAGACTCCTCAGTACAGACACCCCCTATCCTTGTACAGACTCCTCAGTACAGACACCCCCTATCCTAGTACAGACTCCTCAGGACACACATCCCCTATCCCAGTACCGGCTCCTCAGTACAGACTCCTCGTTACAGACACCACCTATCCTAGTACAGACTCCTCAGTACACACACCCTATCCAGTATAGACCCCTCAGTACAGACCCCCCCTCTTTCCTAGTACAGACCCCTCAGTACAGACACCCCCTTTCCCAGTACAGACACTTCTGTCCCAATACAGACCCCTCCGTACAGACATCCCCCTATAACAGTACAAACCCTTCAGTACAAACACCCCCACCCCAGTACAGACCCCTCAGTACAAACACCCCTACCCCAGTACAGACACTCCTCAGTACAGACACCCCCTCCCCAGTACAAACCCCTTAGTACCAACACCCCTCCCCATTACAGACTCCTCATGACAGACACCCTCTATCCTTTTATAGACTCCTCAGTACAGACACCCCCTCTCCCTGTACAGACTCCTCAATACAGACACCCCCTATTCCAGTACAGACCCCTAAATACAGACCCCCCTCCCCAGTACAGGCCCCTCAGTACAGTCAGCAAACCCCATAATACAAATCCCTCAGTACAGACACCCTAACCCCCAGTACAGACTCCTCAGTATGCACATCCCCTTTCCCAGCACAGACGCCTCAGTAAACACACCCCACCCCCCAGTACAGACACCACTTTTCCCAGTACAGACCTCTCAGTACAGACACCCCCTCCCTAGTACAGACCCCTCAGTACCGACACCCCTCCCCATTACAGACTCCTCAGTACAAACACCCCCTCTCCCAGTACAGACACCCCCTTTTCCAGTACAGACCCCTCAGTACAGACCTCCCTCCCCAGTACAGACCCCTCAGTACAGACACCCCACCCCATAGTACAGATCCCTCAGTAGACACCCCAACCCCCAGTACAGACCCCTCAGTATAGACACCCCCTCTTCCCAGCACATATTCCTCAGTAAACACACCCCACCCCCCAGTACAGACACCCCTCCCCATTACAGACTCCCTCTCCCAGTACAGATTACTCAATACAGACACCCCCAATTCCAGTACAGACCCCTCAGTACAGACCCCCCTCCCCAGTACAGAACCCGTAGTACAGACACCCCACCCTATAGTATAGTTCCCTCAGTACAGACACCCCAACCCCCAGTACAGACCCCTCAGTATAGACACCCCCTTTCCCAGCACAGACCCCTCAGTAAAGACACCCACTCCCCAGTACAGACACCCCCTTTCCCAGTACAGAGCCCTCAGTACTGACACCCCTCCCCATTACAGACCCCTCATTACAGATACTCCCTCCCTAGTACAGACCCCTCTGCAGAATCCTCAGAACAGATCTCCCCCCTGCCTAAACTCACCACACCAGATGACCAAATGCAGTGGCCAGAAGTGTAACTAGAACCTTCAGGGCCCCCGTGCAAGAAACCATGAAGGGCTCCCCTGACCCCCTGGCAGGGGCCTGACAGGGGCCTGTAGTGGGACCCTTTATTACGGTCCCACAGTGGGACCCTTTCATGTGTTGTGATGCGGTCTTCCTGTCATTTTGGGGCTCCCCATAGTGGTGGAATACCAGGACTCAGTCGCAGGTGTGACCTTTGCAACCCTGGTAGTTCTGCCACTGGCGTCAGTAAGTTTTTATTTTTGTTAATTTATTATTTTTTACCAATTTATAACTTTTTTTTTACAATTTTATTTTTGATCATTTTGACATTTTTTTGGGAGCCCCATTGGAGGACTTTGGTGAGATATCAGGGGTCTAAACAGACATCTGATGTTTCCCCTTTGAGACAGAGAGAGGAGATTGAGGACACAGCCCTCAATCGCCATCTCTGCAGCCTTTGCTGCACAGAATGAATGGACGGGAATAGCGTTGTACAGAGCTTTCCGGTCAGTCACAAAGTGAAGCATAGTAAACACAGTTCACTATGCATCAGTTATGAAAGAACAGAGTCAGTGATTGGTACTGATCAGTGACTCTGTCCATTCAGAACAGGAAGGGCCTGGTAAATTACATATTTACCAGTCCCTTCCCCACTCTGCATCCTAAAATCAGGATTCCAGGAGAGCACACAGGGGCAGCAGGACCTTGACAGGAGGGGAGGCAGGGGTGGCATATAGAGCCACCAATGCCCTCCATTTTCCTTTTGCAGCCACTGAATGACTGTGGGAGGGAGAGGAGGAGAAGCAGGCTTTCAGTGGCTGCAAGAGGAAAATGGAGGTCATCATTTCCTCTATATGCCGCTCCTCCTATCCACATGTACAGGGGATCCGCACGGACCCCATGGAGCATGGAGCCAGTTTGCAATTGTGACCCCTGTAGTCACACCCCTGGCAGTTCAAAGTGAAGGGAAGTCTTTTTAGGCTTCCCCTAACTTTGAACTGTTGCTGTCACAGAAGTACAGGGTACAGATTCTTTAGTGGTGCTGTGATCGCCTGACATTGTGTGTGTGTGTGTGTGTGTGTGTGTATGTGTGTGTGTGTATGTGAGTGTGTCTGTGTTGCTCTGCACTGTGCTGTGGCCATTTGTTCTCTCCACCTCTTCCAGTCAGCAAATGTTGATCTATTAAAATCATACAGCAATTAAATAATGCCTGCTAAAACCCTCTGTTAGCAAACAGTTGCTTGGTCCAGACCAAGTGGGCACACATATGCAGTAGAAGCAGGAGCATATATGCAGTTACTGCCCCATCCATCTTACTTTTAACTCATATCCACAGTCAGGCACTGAATGTTCCAGCACTCGACTTCGGGACATGGCCTGGTTCCTCAGAATGCTGGGATTTTGGAGAAATTATGAAAGAAGAAATATTCTTTATTTTCTATGATTTTTTAAATACAAATAAGTTTTTATTAGTAATGAAATTGGCACAAAATACTAACGTCAATTATGACAAAGACATGCATCTATGTTTTAAATATTTACTCAAAGGTATAGATAAGACAAGGTCTCTGCAGTATACAATACACAGACAGAATGTATTACATAGACAATTAGCAGTTATCAAATTGATGAAAACAAATGAAATGAGAGACCTAATCAAAGATTGTTTAACAGGATTTAGTGCAAAATAATATAGCAAAGTTCATAAAATTAGTGTAACTAGAGAAATTATTAAATCCAAAATCAAAAGTGTTGTATGGCATCTAAAATGTAGGGAAATTTGGAACTTAGTGATACCCATAGATAAAGCACATCACAAATGAGTAAATGGTACTGCAGCCTGAGTACATCGGACCTAAACACATAAGTAGGAGCTGAGTCTAATGGACAGCAGGTAGAAGATTCTGCCTGCCACATACCCCAACTTTTCTGAAACTTTATCAGGCAACCTCTGTGCTCATAGATCAGTTTCTTATAAGGGAGTGTTATATTAATCTCCACTTTCTATTGTTGTAAGTTAACCACCCAACCTTGGATCCACACCTTACCTACCACTTTTTGGCAGTAAACAGTACCTCATGCTAAGATGGTGTGCAGATAAACTCTGCATTCTAGAGACTCAGGAGGACCAAGGAGGCATAGCTGAGGGTCCATTTGTACCAAGGAACCCATGACATAATGCAAAATGGGCATTATATGCTTCCAGTAAGCCTGTGGGCCCTTAACACTTGGAACATAATGGGTTATTAGAGGGATTATAACATACTAACTGAATTGGCGTCAAATTCATACAATTAAGCATAGATAGGTGAGCTTATCAGTGCTGGTGAGAATCTCTTCCCAGGTCTCACCATCAATAGGGCCCAAATCACTCTTACACAAAATATTTCTTTTATAAACCTGTGGACCTCATGTCCTGGGGTCCTGGTAGGTGTGACAAGCTAGTACTGTGGTGGTTAAATAAAGCCTGTCACTTGTCAGTCATGTTGCTCTAATTCAGCCTTTCTCATCCTTTTTTTACCATGGAAGAACTGAAACATTTTTCAGGTCTCAGGGAATCCTGTTTAAAAATGCTATCTAAAAGCTCACAGTGTATTCATCTGATCAGTAGGTTATAAAGAGTTTCAAATAAAAGATTAAAGAATGGGATGTACAACTCCAATCCCATTACTTGATACAAATTTATCTTGGGTAATAATCTGAACAGAAATACAATCAAAATTAGTGACCACTTACATTTAAGGTCAGTGTAGGCAGGAGAATAAACTGCCACCCCCCCCTTCCCCATGGTTTTTCCCACTCACTAGTGCTGTAGTTCTGTAATGCTCTTCAAAGCACATAGTCACTTCATTTCATTTTTTTAAATAACGTGGAACATGTACACAGATTTTCCAACTTCAACGACTGAACACTTCCAGGTTCTAGGTCAGTAACTCAGAAAGCAATGAATTCAGGAAATTACATGATAATCAGAGCTGTCCAAGGGCCGTATTGCCAACAAAAGAGAGAGAAGTCACCCTTCAGCAATGATACATTGGGGTTGATTTACTAAAGGCAAATAGGCTGTGCACCATACAAGGTGCAGTTGCACTCTTCAAGTGCAATTGCCCCAGAGCTTTGTAAATGAGATACAGATTCATTTTGCAAGGAATACCCAATCACGTGCAAGGAAAATTAAAAAAAGCACTTTTGCTTGCACATGATTGGATGATGGAAGTCAGCAGAGCTTCTGCTCATTTACTAAGCTCAGGAGCAACTGCTCTTGCACATTGCAACTGCACTTTGCAAAGTGCACAGCCTATTTGCATTTAGTAAATCAACCTCATTGTTTCCCTATATGCCAATTTAGACTATGCATTGCTTAGTGCACATGCAAAGCATTAGCATGTGTAAATGCAGCCTGCAAGCAGTCCAGGGGTGTAGGTGATTGGTACTTCTTCCATGTTCCCCTAATTGTTGGGTGCCAAGCGTGGATCACATAAGAGGACTACCCCCCGGGTGGGTTTTCCTGGGCTACACTAGGCAGTTGATATGGGTCACTGCCTTGCACATGGGGTACCTTTACTTATGCCTAGTCTATCAGTGCCCTGGGGAGGGTGGAGGCCGCTTTCAGGGAAAATCTTAAGGTCGTACAACGTGTACTTGACAGATGAACTGCACTTCAGTTAATTCTCTCTAATCCTGAGTAAATGTACACTGCTACGGTTACTTGTTGTATTTAGGAGGGACACGCTGAGCCAATGCCCACTCCACCTGTCCAGTGTGTATTAGCTAGAGATTACATACTGTGGCTTGGCTGTGTCTTCTTCCCATGCAGCAGACTCTCTAAGACTTTGCAGAGCCCTCCCCCCTTATATTTACAGCACAGGGAGAGAGGCAGAGCCCAGGAAAGAGCAAGAAACTGCATTAACCCCTTCCTTCCCTTGATCGGGCCGCCGCCATGCTAGGTAACTACAGTAAGCAACTTGCCTACAAGCCTATTCATTTAGAAATTAATAGAATTAATAAAATTAATTTAGAATTAATAGAAAATCAGGGCCCCTTATCACACAAGAAAAAAACCTGACCTGACCTGGATCTTACACAGGCATTAGAAACACCAGCAGTTAAATGAGTGGGGGGGGGGGGGGGAGGTCAAGAGAACCTGTACCTAAAGGAGTACCTTCTTTTCCCATATATAAACTTCCTAGAATGTCCTTATAGCTAAAGTCAGTAAGTTGGCTGCTATTTGTATTACAGCGTGGTATACTGCTGCCCTTTTTAATACATCAAAGAAGCCCACTAGAGAACAACAAATGCCAGAGCTGAAAAAAGTATAATGGAAAGATAAAAGATTCTTTATTCTGCAGGGAGCATAATGTGATCAAAGAGCACGCAGATAAACCATAGTTTTTTCTCGTGCCCTGTGAACCTATGGGCCTGGGTAAATGCGCACCCCTGCAGTTACGATCTGGCTGAAGACCAATCTTTCATTCAGTCAAAGAGAAGCAAAATGCTACAATGTATTATTTGAAGTAAATATATTACAAGAAATTACAATAATTTGGAATGTGCAAATAAACTGCATAAAGATTTGCCTTGCTGTAATATGGCCTATATTATTCTTCTTAATAATGCAAGAACAAATAATACATACACATTTTAACATAAGATGTGATAGGTGATTGTTTATTTTTAATGATTAACTGTTAAGAAAAATACCTGTGTGCATGTGGGTATTACAAGGTGGCCTCACAGGATGTGAAAACGATTGGCCTCCTCTCTAGACATCATATGCTTAAATTAGGGGAATTGCTTGTTTTTAGAATAAGACAACAGAAAGGTATATAAAGAGGTGGAAAAGCCTTGTACAGCTGTTTCACAACTAAATCATGAAACAAAGAAATGCCTTACAGAACCCAAGTTTTTTCCTAAATGTAGTTTGTTATTAAAAAGAAAAAAAAAACTGTGCTTTACAAGGTTTTGGTTCTGATATTGTAACTACACAAAACATAATTGTTCCTAAGACATTCCTTTTTACTATTGTCATACCAAAGTACAAAGCAGATCACAAAACATTTTAGTGCAAGGAATAGTCTCTACACGTAGACGTTTCAATGAACCAAACAATAACTGAATTTATGATTGTGGGGTTCTCAAGACTGGAGTCATCTCGCCATTTTATTTTCGTTATGTTGCTCATAGTGTACCTTCTCATCATTTCTGGTAATATAACAATAGTTCTTGTGATCTGGATTGATCCACAGCTTCATACCCCCATGTATACATTTGCTGGAATGCTGTCTTTTTTGGATATATGTTATACTGCTGTGACCATTCCGCAAATTTTGATGATCTTTTGGATCGGACAGGTATATGTTGCAGTCTCTAGCTGTCTGCTACAAATGTATTTTTTTTTTTCATTCCTTGGGAATTACTGAGAATTATCTTCTGACTGTGATGGCCTATGACCGCTTCTTAGCCATTTGTAATCCTCTACGATACACTACTATATTATGACTTCTAGGTGCTGCAAGTTTCTAGTCTTTTGCTGCTGGCTTTGTGGCTTTATGAGTCCGGTGACCAAACTGATATTAGTATCTTTTTTGCCATTTTGTGGATCAAATGCAATACACCATCTTTTTTGTGATTTGTCTCCGTTACTACATGTTGCTTGTGCTGACACCACAAGCAATGTCATTGCTGACTTTATTATAAACTCATGTATTATTTATACTGACATCTTTGTTCATTGCCTTGACTTACATCAAAGTCCTCATAACAATCTTGACCATGAACGCAGCAGGACGCAAAAAGGCATTTTCAACCTGTGCTGCCCATCTGTTTTTAGTGCTGATATTTTTTGGAAGTGTAGCATTTATGTATATTAGGCCCCAAAAAAATCTATGCACCAGCATATGATCAACTAGTGACCATTAATTATACGGTACTGACACCCCTGTTGAATCCACTGGTGTATAGTCTAAGGAATAAAGAGATTAAAAGGGCACTTAAAAAATGTCTTCAAATCAATAGAATTGATTTGAACCATAGAATTTGAACCATTAATCATAGAATTGAAAACGTGATCTCTTCAACGCAAATAATCTGAATTCATTCAGAACCCTTGAAAGATATTGTCAATTGTACTGATGTGATCCTCAGCTTGATTAAAGTAGAACTATATAGGCAAAACTTTCTTTTCAGTTTTGGATAGGGCAAGGGAGGGTTAGAACCGCCCGTCAGATTTTTTTTGTCATCTGTGTCCCATTTGGGAGATTTCCCTTTACTTACCATCCCATAGCCAAACAGGAAGTAAGAGGAAATGCCTGCAAATTAAGGGAATTCTTTGGGGATCCCAAGGTCACGAGAATTAGTGCCCCCATTGGAAGATTTCCCCCTATTACTTTTCTGGGGACAACCCAAAATTTGGGATTTTTCTTTTTACTTTCACTTTCAAGGATAATAGTAAACAAGACAAATAGAGAGAATGAATCTCCATACCAGGGACACAGACAGCAACAAAAACTGGTGTTCTAATCCCTCTCCAATCTATCAGAAACTAGAAAAAAAAACATTTTACCTTTAGTTATACTTTAAATACAGAATCCAGCATGGTTGAAGTAAAACTTGAAAGTACTGGATATTTTTTTGTCAGGAGTGCATTGCAGAGATTCATAGTCAATACATAATTACAAAGTGTTAAAATACACATCCATATAAATTGGGTGACAAAAAATATCTCAGTAACAAATTTTGACCACCAATTTTTTTAATTATTATTATTATTATTTTTTTACACTGTTGCTTTACATTTTTTTAAATCACTTTTATTGCTGTTACAAAGAATGTAAACATCGTTGTGACAGCAATAGGCATGTGACAGGTACTCTTTATGGAGGGATCTGGGGTCCATAGGACCCCATATTCCTCCCCTGCACTTAAAAGCATTCACAACATCAAGATGGGTGTTTTCGAATGCTTTTGAGTTTTTAAAAATGGCGCCGTTGACATCCGGGTAAACTGTAAGTGTTGACAGGCCCATTGCTTCTCGGTTACCATAGCAGAGAGACAATCAAAGCTGATTCAGGCTTTGTTTGGCTCTCCCAACTAGCTGACAGACACATCGGCTGGTCACTTGGGTCCCCAAGTGGGACAGGAGAAACTGAACAAGCAGTGGAAGGCGAAGGTGGTGGAAGGTTAGCTGTTCCGAATACTATGATAAAGAGAGCCGACCACCGGCTCTGAAAAACAGCACTGGGGTGATGCCTGCAGCTATAGACATCACCCCACAGCAACAGCTTGAAGACAGGTGATGTATCAGGTACATGACTGGTCGGCAAGTGGTTATCCACTTCAAGACCAGACTTTTACCCCCATCCTGCCCAGACCATTTTTCAGCGCTGTCACAGTTTGAATAACAATTACTCAGTCATGCAACACTGTACCCAAATTACCTCCCTGGCGGTATTCCCGAGTGTAGCTCAGGGTAAAGTTTCAGTACCACAAGCGGTAACCCCGAGCTACGCTCGGGCTTACCATGAGGAGCTGCTCCGGGATCTGTTCTTCACTTACCTTGTCCTGTGCTCCCGCGATGTCCCTCCTGCAGTGTCCCCGGCAATGTAATCCGGCGGATGCCGGCATCTGTCATCTGGGTTTCGTTCCCCTGCGAGCGTACGGGGGACGGAACGCCGGGAAATTTGAAAATGACAAAAAGTGACATTCACTAAAATCACTAAAATCACATAGTAAAAAAACATTACTGTATCAAACCATTTCACATACATTTTTGTCCCTAGTGCTTTGTCCTGTGCCCTGCCTGCATTTTTACTGTTCTTTCTGCCTGGAAACTGAGAAATGTCCATGGCGTCCAAAAAGCGTCCCTTTAGGTCAAAAGCGGTTTTAGACCAGCGAGAGAACAGCGATAGTAAATCAGAATCACTTGCAGAATTGAGTGATAATGATTCGTGGGGAAATTCCTCATCAGACACTGAAAACGATTTTGCGACTTTGCTCAGTGATGTGCGAACTTGGCGCTATATTTCAAATTTCAGTGTTTTTGGTTTGATTTTTGATTATTATATTGAATTAAATGTATTATTATTATATTATTTTTTTTTTTATTTCTTTAAATTATAATTTATGATTTCATGTTTCAAGTCTTATCCTACCCGGGATGTTTACTAGACTCTTGTTCGGACAGATTTCAGTGAGTTATTCCTAAAAATTACAGGCCTACAATAACAAAAACCCATATTTCCATGCAAAAAAAATGTACCACTTTGAGCACAGAAATATGGACATAATCATACCGCTAGGAAGGTTAAATTTTTTTATTATATTTTTAAAATAGAGCTTAGTTTTGGTTGTGTTTTGGTTTGATTAGCGAGTCTGGAGTAGAGGAACTCGACTGGCCTGCACAGAGTCCTGACCTCAACCCAATAGAACACCTTTGGGCTTCACAGTACAGCTGTATTTATACTGAGATTAAATCACACACTGGTGGACTCTATTTACTAATTATCTGACTTCTGAAGGCAATTGGTTCTACAAGAACCATTTATCATTTTCCTTCGTCTTCAAAATGATCTGCCACTTTGTGTTGGTCTATCACATAAAATCACAATAAAATACATTTATGTTTTCGGTTGTAACATGACAGAATTTGGAAAATTTCAAGGGGTATGAATACTTTTTCAAGGCACTGTATATGTCAGGAAATAAAAGCATGCAATGGTAAACCAGATGATGAATATCAGTAGAGGTAGCTGATCTTTAATGAGAATGGTATCATTTTGTTAATGAATCATTATCAAACAATGGTTTCTGTTGATTCTCTAGAGCAGAGAACAATTGGAGATCAAACGCTAACCTGTTTTTGCTGTGATAGTGGGGATAGTTGAGAGATGGCAATGTGGAATAAATACAATTCTGCTGACGAGAATATTGTAATATCATGTCAGTGATCTACATATTATGAGCCAAATTATAAAGATGCAGGTTTGAGAGACAGAATATACTGAGTTTCATGTTGAAAACTGTAGTAGATTTTTAAATGTGTGCTTACAACTCATATTATCGATTGCTTTATTTCCTGTCCAAGCAATGATCACTAGAGGGAGCCATACCACTGTAAATCCTACGGTGTCTATCCATCATCTGAAAATGGAAAGAGTATGGCACAACTGCAAACCTACCAAGACATTGTCATCCACCTAAACTGACAGGCCGGGCAAGGAGAGCATTAATCAGAGAAGCAGCAAAGAGGCCCATGGTAACTCTGGAGGAGCTGCAGAGATTCACAGCTCAGGTGGGAGAACCTGTCCACAGGACAATTATTAGTCGTACATCAGTGCCTGACCTCACAAATGTGCTTCTGGAAGAATAGTCAAACATTCCCATAGACACACTCCTAAACCTTGTGGACAACCTTCCCAGAAGAGTGGAAGCTGTTATAGCTGCAAAGGGTGGGCCAACTCAATATTGAACCCTACGGACTAAGACTGGGATGCCATTAAAGTTCATGTGCATGTAAAGGCAGGCGTCCCAAATACTTTTGGCAATATAATGTATGTGTATTATATATATAGTTCCTTGAGAAAACATTCATACCCCTTGACATTTTCCACATTTTAGCATGTTACAACCAAAAACATAAATTTATTTTATTGGGATTTTATGTGATAGACCAACACAAAGTGGAACATAATTGTGAAGTGGAAGGAAAATGATAAATAATTTAAAACATTTTTTAGAAATAAATATCTGCAAAAGTGTAGCATGCGTTTGTATTCAGCCCCCCTGAGTCAATGCTTTGTAGAACCATCTTTCTCTGCAATTACAGCTGCATGTCCTTTTGAGAATGTCTCTACCAGTTTTGCACATCTAGAGAGTGACATTTTTGCCCATTCTTCTTTGCAAAATAGCTCAAGCTCTGTCAGATTGGATGGAGAGTGTCTGTGAACAGCAATTTTCAAGTCTTGCCACAGATCCTCAATTGGATTTAGGTCTGGACTTTGACTGGGCTATTCTAATACATAATAAATATACTTTCATCTAAACCATTCCATTGTAGCTCTGGCTGTATGTTTAGGGTTGTTGTCCTACTGGAAGGTGAACCTCTGCCCCAGTTGGAAGTCTTTTGCAGACTATAACAGGTTTTCTTCTAAGATTGCCCTCTATTTGGCTCCATCCATCTTCCCACCAACTCTGACCAGCTTCCCTGTCCCTGCTGAAGAAAAGCATCCCCGCAACATGATGCTGCCACCACCATGTTTCAAGGTGGGGATGGTGTGTTTAGGGTAATGTGCAGTGTTAGTTTTCTGCCACACATAGATGTAACGAACCGCCTGATGACGCCCCTAGCAATCCACTGGTCAGGCTTCCCCAGAGTGCGAAGTCTAAGTCCTGGTTCACTTGTTCACCAGGGCCCCTGATGGTG